GCTGCCATGTGATTGGCTGATTAGAAATGTGCGTTAACCAGCAGTTGGACAGGTGTACCTAATAAAGTGGCCGGTGAGTGTGTATTACATCCATTAATTCCATATATTGATCATTGTGACAGGCTCAGACTCAACATTGCGATATCGATGCTGAAACCATATATCCCGCAGTGCTATTGTTGGTTGTTGGAGCTCAGCGCAGTGCTAATGTCGTGTTTGATGAGTTCTGGATGTGTTTGGCCGCGTCTGGAGGGTTGATGTAATCACTGTGCTGTTTATCCTGGATGAGCATTGATTTAGCTCCTCTCTCTTCTGCTCTTTTAAGCTGCGGGTCCACATATGTGTGTGATGAAACCCAGAGGTGTTAAACTGCTCCTGCCGTCCCAGATAATATGCGTCTTTATCATGTTTGCTTCTCATCTCAATTGAATTGACGGTACAATTATAATAAAGGTGACCTGTTATGCTCCTTTTTAAAAAGATGCATCTGTGATGAGTGTGTGGTGAAAGTGTGAGCGAGAATACACACAGATGATGCTCTCAAGCTCTCAGAAACTCACCCTTTCAGGCTTTGATCCTAATTGTGGCGTTTGGTGACTGTCGCTTTAAATGCAAATGAGATTGTGCTCTTTTCAGAAGAGGTGTCGGTGATATCAGTATAGTGCATGTTCATTATGACAGTATATTGAATATCTGCATAAATGTCTAGTAAATAATGGTGATCTGGGTTCATCTAGACTCTGCGTCTGCCCTCTGAATGGCTGTAGACTCCAGTGACTAAGTGAAGTAGACCAAAAGATCCTCAAAAGCTTGAGAGAATGCTGAGATCTAAATATTTATCAGGATATGTGATGACTTGTATTGCTGGACTATGTGACAAATCGCAATAATTATTCACAGTAAAGTGGTCATGATATCAATACTGTGCATGTTCGTTATCAGGATAAGTTGAATTATTGAATATTGGCGTATGTCAAGTGATTCATCTTTATTTCTATAGCGCTTTTACAATGTTGATTGTGTTAAAGTAGTTTAAGATAGATGATGTTCTAGGAAATTAAAAAGGTAATCCGGGTTCATCCAGACCCTGTGACTGACCTCTGAATTGCTGAAAAACTGTAGTGACAGCGTGAAGTAGACCAAAAGATCCTCAAAAGCTTGAGAAACTGCTGAGATTCAAATAATTGAATATATTATTATCAGCATATGAGCGGACTTGTATTGTGAAATGAGGCCATAACATCCAGCAATATAAGCATTTATTCACAGTAATGTAAATAATGGCTTTAACTCCAGTGACAATGTGAGGTAGACCAAAGGATCCTCAAAAGCTTGAGAAAATGCTGAGATTCAAATAATTGAATATATTATTATCAGCATATGAGCTGACTTGTATTGTGAAATTTATTTTGTTATGTTAACTTCTATTGTTAACATCCAGCAATATAAGTAAATATTCACAGTCAAGTGGTCATGATATCAATACTGTGCATGTTCGTTATCAGGATAAGTTGAATTATTGAATATTGGCGTATGTCAAGTGATTCATCTTTATTTCTATAGCGCCTTTACAATGTTGATTGTGTTAAAGTAGTTTAAGATAGATAATGTTCCAGGAAATTAAAAAGGTAAGCGTGAAGTAGACCAAAAGATCCTCAAAAGCTTGAGAAACTGCTGAGATTCAAATAATTGAATATATTATTATCAGCATATGAGCGGACTTATATTGTGAAATGAGGCCATAACATCCAGCAATATAAGCATTTATTCACAGTAATGTAAATAATGGCTTCAACTCCAGTGACAATGTGAGGTAGACCAAAGGATCCTCAAAAGCTTGAGAAAATGCTGAGATCCATATAATCAATTATATCATTATCAGGATACAAGATGACTTATATTGTGTATGTTGTTATGTTAACTTCTATTGTTAACATCCAGCAATATAAGTAAATATTCACAGTCAAGTGCCCATGATATCAGTATAGTGCATGTTCGTTATGACAGTATGTTGAATTATTGAATATGTCTGGTGAATCTCGCTGATCTGTGTTCATCCAGACTGTGAGGCTGACCTCTGAATGGCTGTAGACTCCAGAATAGAGGAAGTTGTCTGATGGGAAGGAGAGCAGTTCCTGTTTTTTGAAGCCTATTTGTGTTTTCGCTCCGTCAGTGTAGAGTTGACCTCACGAGACCAGAATCTGAGCCCCGTCCACAGACTTAGCATTGCATGATCGCCTTTTATTATTTACATGAAAAGAAAATGTAGTTAAAAGTTTCAGATCAATAAAACTCAATTTATAAAAAGACTAGCCTATTCTATTAATTAAGCAATTTTAATTTATTAAATAATTTATTAATTGATTTATTAAATAATGAAATAGATAAGTTTCCTTTCATGCCACCCTTCCGAGGATAAATTCGAACCAGCGACCTTCTTGCTGTTAGGCGACAGCACTACCTACTGCGCCACTGCGTCGTCCTTTTCAGCATTGTATCTCAGATAAACAAACGTGATTGTGAAATATCTGCTCACATATTGTGGTGTTTTTTAAGGGCGTACACTGTAGAGCTGGTCCGTCTGTTCAGATCCGCTCAACAGGTCCAGAGCGCCCCGGGCTGAGAAAGCACACAACATCTGCTGTTATCAGTGTGTGTGGTGCAAACATCTGGCTCATGCTGGATGATTTAATTAAAGCTGAACGTCTAACAGCTTGAACATGCTCAGCTTTCACTCTCCTCATGACCACTGCGCACTCATCCATCACTGCAGTGCACAAACGGACAGCTTTTGTCTTCAAAGTGGGTTGCGCTTGGAAGGGCATCCTCTGTGTAAAACATATGCTGGAATAGTTGGTGGTTCATTCTGCTGTGGCGACCTCTGCTAAATAAGGGACTAAGCTGAAGGAAAAACATTCATTCATTCCTTTTCTTGTCGGCTTAGTTCCTTTATTAATCCGGGGTCGCCACAGCGGAATGAACCGCCAACTTAAATGTATTCACTCACTATCCTTTGGCTTTCCATTTCTGCAGACATTCATTCATTCATTTTCAGCTTAGCCCCTTTATTAATCAGAGTTCGCCACAGTGGAATGAACCACCAATGACTATTCCAGCAAATGTTTTAAACAGCGGATGCCCTTCCAGCCCAGTACTGGGAAGCACCCATACACATGTGAAGATAACTGACAGCAGCTGGATGTCTGGATGAATCCTCTGTTCTAGTTAATGTGCACTTAAGCTTTCAGATTTGCAGGAAGATCAGGCTGGGTTTTTGGCCGTTCAGCAGTTTGCAGGAAACCCCATCTGTACTGTAGTAAAACCAGCTCAGCAGATTCAGCAGCGCCCGCAGAACAGCTCTTAACCTTCCAGACCAGACGCAGTTTCACACCAGTGGATTTATTAATTCATTTGAGTAAAGTCAAGTGTTTTGACTCATCATTTCTGGAAACAGGACAACACTTTTTGGCTTGTCTAGAAAATTATTCTTGATTAAAGAAGTTTTAGATATCTGGACTAGACGCTTTATTCATTTTCCTTCCGCTTAGTCCCTTTATTAATCAGGGGTCGCCACAATGGAATGAACCGCCAAGTATTCCAGCATATGTTTACACAGTGGATGCCCTTCCAGCTGCAAACCAGCACTGGGAAACACTCATATTCACTTCGGCCAGTTTAGTTAATCAATTCCCCTGTACTGCATGTGTATCGACTGTAGGGGAAACCGGAGCACCCGGAGGAAACCCACACCAACACGGGGAGAACATGCAAACACGGAAAC